GCGGGAGAGAATCGTGGGCTGAAAACATGGACTTTCATGAGTGAGCCATGGGGGTGGGGCCGAAGGAAGGAGCCGAGAATGAACAGGGCCACAGCAGAGGGCATGCACGTCCCCGCACAGTCCCCAGGGTTGCACAGGGGGTGGACAGCCTGATGTCAGGGGGGCAGGTTGGTTTCAACTTTGTGTTGGTGATAAGCTTCAGTTCTCAATGCAGAAATTCAGGTCATTTCAGGGTCAGTTAAGAGCTGGAGTTCCCAGTTTTATTCTTATTTCCGGCGCATAACGCACTGTGTGACCAGGTGCAGCTCTTCGGATCTGAAGTCGTCCCCGTATCCTTCAGCATTGCTTCCTACTCTTCCTCCCAGTCTCCTAATACCCGGGTGCCCTGAGCCCAGAGGCCGAAGGGAGCAGCGAGGGGCTCCATCGGCCTTGACTCCGTCCCAGCCCCTTTGCTGCTGCCCCCGCCCTGTGCGCTGCACCCACAGCACAGCCCCTTGGCCACACGGTGCAGGAGCGGCACCTGCCAGGTGAGCGAGACAGCCTGCAGGTGCGCTCAGCTCAGCGAGAAAGCTACTTGCCAGCCTTCGAGTCGTTTCCAAAGTCAGCTTCACCTGGCTGGCTGGGCAGTGGGTCAGAGGGTGAGTAGGAATGGGCCTGGACAGTCAGAACTACAAATAACCCGGCCGTTCCCTGGAGCGCGGCAGCTCAAGTACAGCCCAGGGACTGAAGGGACAAGGGACGGGATGGGAAGGAGCAGCAGGTGGTACAGAGAGAAGTGACGTGGCCGTCTGAGGTCTCAGAGAAGTGTGGCAGGACCTGCAGATGCAGCAGACGGTGCGTCTATTCTGTATGAACTTGAGCTAGAAGATCATTTCCACGTGACCTTGACCTGGCAGCGACGGGGTGGCCGCGACCTGGCCGGGAGGCCTGCAGGAGCGTCACAGACAGCACATACCACGTCCTTGATGCTCCTGCCTGCTTTATTTGTGTCAGGTACTTAGTGAAGACAGACCCGGACAGGAACGTGGAGGTGACGGAATTCACTGCTGCACCTTTAACACGCACCTGCGCACGGCCAGGCCGGTGCCGAGTCACCACCGCTCACACGCACCGGCTGCCGTGAGTGGACGTGACAGGGATCCTACTCACTGAGGACATTCCAGATGAAGCAGAACTTTTTTCCTCAGGGGAAGCCTTGTGACTGGGAGTCTCTGAAATGGCCCCAGTGATGTCCAGCCTCATCCCTAAGCCTGTGCATAGGAGGAGACCCCTGTCCCACGTTATGTTATTTGGCACCATCGACTGTCGGGAGGAGATTCCTACTGGTCAGGAGGGAGGCAGGCAGGGCCTCCACCTGCTGACAGGCAGCACCGAGTCGGGGACTCAGACCTTCAGCCACAGAATCGGCTCTGCCAGCACCCCTGTGAGCAGAGCAGCAGCCTCGGAGCAGGGCACCCAGCAGAGCCACTGGACTCCTCGCCCCGAACAGTGTGGTGATAAATGGGTGCTTGAGCCCGAGTTGTCTGGTGATTTGCAGCAGGAAACTTGATATTAACGAATGTCCTTTTTCACGTGTGGGAGAAGCCGACGCATCCTCGTCTCTGCCGCTGCTACTCTGCGTGAACCTTGTGCTCAGAGTGCTCCCGAGTTGTGCAGGGTCCCACTCTGCTGCCGCACCAGACGCAGAAGGGCCGCCAGAGCTGCAGACCCGCAGGCCTCTCGGGTGCGAGGACCCCACTGCCCGAGGCGTGAGGGCTCCTCACGGGCCAGCCTTGGTCCCTCTCAGGCACCTCCAGGAAACCAGGGTGACCCTTAACCTCAAAAAGTTATAAAATTATGCTATTTTTCAGTTGACTTACTAATGATTGGGGCTGCAGTTGCCCTGGAAATCTGAAAGATCCCGCACAGCCACACTCACTGGCCGACTCACCATGGTCATGGATCCAAGGGCCCCACAGGAGGGGCTGGCTCTCTGAAGCCACCTCAGAATAATGCAGCCTGCCCCGTGGCCCACCGGTGCATGGACACAGCGTGAAACGTCCTGCTTGGTCCCTTGGCAGAGAACTGTCGGCAGGGCCTCCCCCGGCACGGTGGGGTCGGGCCCAGCTCTGAGGGGTCGGCAGGAGACACGTGACCTGGTCCCCTTCCTTCCCTCGGGCCAGCTCCCCAGAGCCACCACTTTATGTTAAACTTGGTCAGAGGGTTTGATTTTCATTGAGGGCCTTCCTGAACTCAGTCACGTTCCAGTTAAGAGCTTTGTGAGGTGTTTCTAAGCAGCGTCTGGTGTTCTGTGTGCCATACACATTCCACAAATCGACACCAGCCTGGCTCTGTCCCTGCCCGGGATTGCCATCCGACTCAGCTCGATGGAGACCTTCGCCCTTTGTCAGAAACAGGCCCCACTGAGGAGACTGGCGGAGTTTCAGAGGTGGGAGAGCAAGGAGCTCCCCTCGGGATGGGAGTGGCCCTCACAGCTGGCCCGGCAGCCCTCAGTCCTCCACCTCTGCTCTCTGCTCGCTGCTCCGTCCCAGCTGCCCGCCCCCGGCTCCACACACAGCCTGCTGCCCAGGGGCTGTCGAGCTGTGGGGACAAGTCCTGAACAGTCCTGTCCTGTTGCGGTGGCTCCTGGGGCTGCAGAGGGCACAGCAACCAAACACGACAGAGTCTCCAGCACCAGCTCCTCGGGCTCCTCACTGGAGCGTGACGGCACGTGTGACCCACAGTCGGACAGAGTGTCTCCCTGCACAGATGGGCTGCCAGACCCTGCTCAGACAGAGGGGTTCTTCAGAGCGAGAGCTTGCAGACACAGTAGAGGGCTTGTGACCCTTTCTCCGGCTGGGTCCCTGGGACTGTCCCTCTCTGCTGCCCCGGGCTGACCCCAGAACCTTCCCTGTCATTTCTGGGCCTCACTCCCGAGTCCACTCCGGAGTCTCGGTCTGCCGGCCCCTGCAGGTGTCCTCGGCTTTCGGGTGGGAAAGCAGGAGGAAGCGGGAACCAGTCTTCTCCCAGATCAGCCAGAGCTTCGTCACCACACACCGATCATCAGGTTCTGGAGCTGTCCGCCAGGGTGGTCCAGGACGTCTGGTCTAGAACAGCCGTCGATGGAAGCTCGTGCTCGCGCGAGCCAGCCGTGCGCCTGCAGGTGGCTCATGGCCCGTTCCTGTTCTAGTGGCCGCCATCTGAGCAACCCGGTCGTCTTCGAAACAACACCCTTCGCTGTGGCGAGGCTGCTCCCTGGGCGGCACCCACCTCCGGAGTGTCCGTGCTGCCCTCGGTCAGCGAGGCTGGCCCTCCCGGACACCCTGGGCAGTAGGACCCCCAAGTCCCGGGCTCCAGCGTCAGGTAAAGGCTGGGGTGTCAGGGCAGTGAGGGAAGGCCGAGGGTCGGCACGGGTCCTCGCTGCTGCGTGTTCCGTGCGCGCATGAAGCTCGCCCAGCGGGAAACCGACAGCACCGACCAAACGCCTGGAAGGAGACACGCAGACGGCCTCACTGCCGGTGCCGCTCACCGTCTCCAGTGGCTCTCCAGGGACACGGCCGGCTTTCAGGGCAGGAGTGGGAGCGAGCCTGGGCCCCCTGTCATGGGAAGGCTTCGGGGGTCTCCTTCCCGAAGGACTGCTCCCCTCCGCCGGAGCCCGGTTGTCACCCCGGTGTCCAGAGCACTCAGGTTTCCCTTCGCAGCTTCGGAGCTGTCGGCCCTGCCCCCGCCTCCCCCAGGGGCTCTGCACACAGTGGCTCTTGCACACGGGGCCTTGGCAGGTGCCCTGTGAACCTCGTTCTCGGTTTGTGGACCTCAGCATTTCACAGCTTACAGTTTCCCTGGGTTCTGTTACCTCGCCCCGACGTGCGAGGCGGGATCTCATCACAGAGCCGGTGACCAGGCAGCACTCTGTAGATGAAGTCATTCTCAAGAGGGGGAATTCAATGTCTTTTTTGAAAAAGGGCTTCAAATAAGAGAAAAACCCGCCTCGTGAATGTTGACGCAGAATGATGAGCTCACTCCCCTGGGCTGAGTCAGCAGAGCTGGGCTGCAGGCGGCAGGTGTGCGCAGTTCAAGCTGCGGTTCCAGGGGCTGCGCCCACCTCCGTGGGCATGTCTCAGGCGCATCACCTGCTTCCTCCCCAGGGCTGCCCACAGACGGGCCTTTGAGAGACTCGACCCGCTGAGTCTCCAGATGGAGGCGGAGGGGATTCTGATGACAGTTCCCGGTGCAGGCTCGCTGGGGCCCGCCTTTGCACGCGGGCGGGTGGCCGCTGCACGTGTGCCGTGTCGGCGGCGCTTCAGCAGAAGGTTCTTGGCGACTCCCGTGGTGCATGATCCGTTCCCTGTTCTGTGGGGTGTTGGGCCCTCGTTTCTGTCCGCCCTTCTTTCTGTCCTTGAGGACATGGTTAACCCTCGGAAGAGGAGCTGAGTAAATGCCCTCCACCCCGCTGGGCGTCACCTGCCTGTGGAGACACCAGGGTGAGGCGGGCGATGCGGAGGGTGAGGCCGGCGATGCGGAGGGTAAATGTGAAGCTCAGGCATTTGCCATGACCCTGGGTCCAGGATTGGTTTGCGTCTCCAAGTCCTGTCTGCTGAGACCCCAGAGCTTCTCGCCGCCCTCCGGGGACGAGGGCTGCCCTCTGCATTCGCCGCAGGCCTGGGAGGCAGCCAGGCGCTGTCCTGAGCCTCCATGTTTGCGGGGTCTGTGACCCCAGGGAAAGTAATAGGAAGGTGCTGAGACCAGAGTCAGTCACTCCGGGAGCGTGAGGTGGGGGCAGGTTGGGATGGCTTCCGGTTCTGGGAGGTGCCGTCCCCAGTCTGCAGGACGGAGTTCTGGGCACAGAGGGGGTGCTGCAGCCTGAGCCGCTCCTCTCGACTCGCACCCCTTCCTCAGCTGCACGTCTCCTGGTCTGAAAAGTGTGTTTTTGTAAAGGAAACATGAATGACTGTCCCTGCTAACACTGGTTTCTAATCTTTGGTTTTGTTTTGTTTTTTTTTTTTGTCTCTTCCTTTCTCTAGCACGAAAGACTTTCTAGGTAAGAACGATCGTTTTATACGCATGCTTAATTCTTGTGTTGTGAGTGCATGTCTCATCCAGCTCGGCTTTCCTGGCTTCGTGTGACCCTCACGTCCTTGCCATTCCCACGGCCACAGCGGTTCAGGGCGTCTCCCGCCCGCCTCCCGCCACCGGTGTTTGTGTGCTTCACCCGCGAGACTGTCCTCGGCCGCAGGGGTGCCAGCGCCCTGTGGCCGGTGGCGGCAGAGGGGCAGCCGGCAGGGCACCCAGTCCTCGTGGTAATGAGCTCAGTGCCTGACTTCAAGTGCTGCGGAGTCAGGAGCCTGTCAGAGCCTGGGAGCTGAGGCCCTGCAGCTGTTCGCCTGCTCTGAGCGCCCAGCCTCCCGCAGAACCAGAGGAGGGGCAGAGGCTCTGGGCCCCGCGTGTGAAGCTCCGTCTCCTCTGTGCCTGTGGGGGTGAGAGCAGACCGAGGGGGCCGAGCTGGGGTCGCACAGGGAGTGACCTCGTGTTTGATCGGCGGCGGGAGGGTTATCCGTGTGTCTTGCTCAGCGGCATGGAGTCTCCTCCACTTAGCCTCTCACCGCACCAGCTGAGGAGACACGGTCCCGTCTCACCTGCAGGAACTAGCTCGCAGGCCTGTGGGAGGCGCTGTTCTCCTGCAGTCGCCTCTCCTGAACTCCGTTACATTGTAAAGGCCTTTTGTGAAAGGCTTTCTCTGCAAGCTTCAAAATACGCCTAGAACTGCAGGGATTAGTGAGGGAGGCAGTGAGCAGGTCTGGACACGGTCAGCGGCCCAAAGGGCAGGTGTGGGGTAGCTGTCCAACCCTGCAGCTATTGGGACAGTTGACTGTCTATTCAGGAAAGTATCCCTTTCCCTGAAACCACACCAAAAACAACACAATAAAACAGAACAAAATAGATTTCGGATGGATCACAATTTTTAAGAGAAAAAGTATCGACTACAAATGTTGTGGAAGAGAAAGTCATAGTCTGTACCTAGGAAAGCCCTTCCCAAGCATTGCGTCGTGAAGGTACAAGTTGTCAAACTTACGTGAACTGAACGACTTGCTAGTAAAAGACAGCAAGGGAGGGGCCTGTGCAGTCTGCAGGGTGGTCTCGGAGCCCTGCCGCCCCGGGACGCCCACAGCACGACCAGGGGACGGCGGGCAGAGGCCGACGCACAGCCAGAGGTGGTGGCCCAGGGCTTAGAGCACCAGCTACAGGGAGCTGTCTCTCCCCTGCCTCACGAACACGGCAGCTCTGCGGGCCAGTGTGGAAACGTGCACGTCCACATTCGAAGTCTGTGTACCCCTCGTAAGATCTCATCCCCAAATACCTGGACAGATGCACCGAGATTCATAGACAGGTCTTCTCATCGTCACATTATATTAGCTTAAACATTCAAGTCAATGAGTATGTTTATCGGTGGAGGGTTAAATCATGCAGCACACAGGAGACGGCAGTCATTTCTTGACTTCGGTGCGGAGCCGCCTGTGCGTGGAGGGGGAGGGGGCGTCAGGAGACCACACGTGCTCTGAACTCATAGAATGTGCTAGCGTGTCTGTGCACTTGACACCCTGCAAGAGTACGAGCCGAACTGTGAAGCGTGGCTATTCCTTGGGCAGGATTATGGGATGACTTTCACTTTCTAATTCAGACGCTTACGTCTTCCACAAGCCTGTGTTGCTTTTGAGATCAGGAAAGTCCATGAAGAGAATGCTGTTTACAAAAAATTTTTTAAAGATGAGAAGAATATTGTAGGACTTAGTGAAAGGGAGGTGGCGGCTGGCATCAGGGGGCTTTGGTTGCCCCTCCTGCTCCTCCGCCACCTCACGTGCAGCTCCTGGCACCTGAGGCTGCAGCTGCCACAGGGCAGAGGCACGCGGTGACCCTCCGCCCCGCGTGCGAGGACACAGAGCTCTGCTGCCCGTGTCCCCTCACATTTCAGTTTGCAAAGAGCCAGGTCCCAGGAAAGCGTGACTCAGAGTGTGGACCGGAGCTGAGGGTCAGGATGCTGGTTGTCATGGCACAGGTCAGAGCGGAGAGACCCGCCTTTCTGGGAACACTGGCACCAAAACCACCCTCAAGTCTAAGCTCATCGCTCAAAGATGTGGGAACCCTACACGCGGTGACACAGAGCAGAGGGGAGGAAGCACAGGCCCGGCCGGCCGGCGCTGGGGCATTCAGGACGCAGGCGCAGCCCGTGGCCACTCCCGCCTGGCCTGCCGCTCGAGCTCTGCATGTGTTTCTGATCCACTTGCAGGTGGCGGAGTCGTTTCCCAGAGCCCCAGGGATCCAAGAAACATTCGCTTTTTAAAGCACACACTTGAGGAAGCAGTTCAACCCTCAATTAGTTTGAAAAGCTCTACGGTTTAAGGCAGCATTTGGGTCCAAACCACCAGTTGTCCGAGTCAGCTCCACTCTGGACCGGTGCAGCCTCCTCCTCTGAGCTGGCAGCACCGCCCTGAGGTCCCAGGAGCCGGAGGAGGGAACCTCAGGAAGGGCGTCTGCACGGTTCTGGCCAAGCTCCCAAGTGCTTCTCAGAAAACGCCCATCAGCGCCCCAGTTCTCAGACGGACTCTGACCTCTAACGTGCCCCCATGTCCCCCCACAGGTTGGAGTCTGGAGGGAGCAACCCTGTGACCAGCGACTCCTACGGTGACCGGGCCTCAGCAAGAGCCCGCAGGGAGGCCCGCGAGGCCCGCCTGGCCTCCCTGACCGGCCGAGGGGAAGAGGACAGCAGCAAGGACTATAAAAAGGTAGGGTCCTGCCCGGCACATGTGGCTCCATGGTTGGGTGTCGACCCTGAACCAAGAGGTCGCAGGTTCGATTCCCGGTCAGGGGGCCTGCAAGAGACGGAGTCACACTCCACCCTCCCTCTCCCAGGAGGGTCCAGGAGGAAATGTTCCTGCTGGGAGACATTTGTCCTGCTAAGCACAGCGCCACTAGGACCGGTGCCCTGGGAAAGCCGTTCTCCGAGAGGCGAGGCCCTGCGGGGGTCCGTGCAGCCTCCTGGGGCAGTGTGGGAGCCGGGCCGCCATCTGTGCTGGCCGGGGGCCGTGATGCTGGGAGCAGGAGACCGTGTCTGGACGTGCTGTGCCCAGGCTTCCCCTCGAGGCGGTTCCTCCGGGTGGCGCCCGGAGGTGACCCAGTGCCGCTCCCTCCCCAGCTGTACGAGAGCGCCCTGACCGAGAACCAGAAACTGAAGACCAAGCTGCAGGAGGCCCAGCTGCAGCTGGCAGACGTCAAGTCCAGGCTGGAGCAGGTGGCCCAGGTGAGGGCGTGGCGGGCGGGGCAAGCAGGGCGCAGAGGAGACTGAGGACCTGGGTGGGAAGCAGGTGTCCTCAGGACGAGGTCACAGCCTTCTGGACCTGACTGAGTTCAGCTTCGAGCAGCGTCTGACTGAAGGGGCAGCTGCTCGTCCCGTGAACAGTCCTGGTGGCCTCAGTGCTGATCGTGAGTGTCGGGCAGTGAGGCTGGTCCCAGACGTGTCCTTGCCTCGTGCACCAGGCTCCAGCTCAGGCCATCCACGTGTCCCCTCCACGTGTCCCCTCCCAGAGACAGACGAGACTGAAGCGTAGTGCACGGGTCACAAGTCACCATGGCCGCTCAGGACAGAGGTGGTGTGGGCAGAGGGCCCGTCCCAGCAGGAAGTCTGTCCTCGGGCCTAATGCCCCATCCTCCCGGTCGCTGCACCTCTCGGCCTGGGGCAGGGTGTCAGTGCAGCAGGCTGGCCGCTCCTCCCGCTACCAGGCCTGATGGGACTAGGTGGCACTCGGAGAGAGCTGGAAGTAACGACCTTGTCCTGGGGCCGGTGCTCTGGGCTGCTCTGCAGGAAGCCTGCCAACCCCTGGAATGCCCGGACCGGCAGGCTGCAGAGCTGGAGCGACGTGGATGGGGCTCTCTCCGGGCTGTGAACGAAGGCCGGAGGTGGCTGCGATGACAGCAGCAGAGACTGAAGCACCAGGGTGCAGCACCGCGTGCTTGGGGGGGGCCGGGTAGCTACGTCGCCTCTGAAACCTGTTGCAGCCCCTGCAGAGCAGAGTGAGCAGGGCACCTGCTGAGGAGACAGGGCTGGGGAGCCGCCTGGGGCCCAGCAGAAGATCCACTGCGCCTGGGTGAACGCCTGTCGCGTGGCCGCCTGGTCCTGCCCCAGCCTGGCTCGCACCGGGAACTCCTAGGGCTGCTGCAGCACGGAGGACAGTGGGATCGAGCGACTGCAGTGGGGCCTGAAAGCAGGTCTCAGTTTGAAAGACAGACCGTGAGGCAGAAGGACAGGCTCTTGGGCCAGCACCGCCGCTGCAGACGGCCTTTTCCACAGGAGACCCTCCGGTGTCCGAGGCGGCCTCTCATCAGACGGGCTGCATCAGTGCAGACCCAGCGCTGCTCCTCGGAGGGTGGGCTTCACCTGCCCCTCCCACCCTGCAGCTCGGGCCTGAGCGCCCGCCGTCTGAGTTGCTGACATGGACAGTCACACAAGGCACTGGACATAAAGTCCTCCTTTCCGGTCACTTTCCAGCTGCTGGCTAGATGTGGCAATAGCTTAGTCTTGTCAAATACGAGTCATTGAAATTCAGAAGAAATGGTGGTGCTGCAAAGCAAGTCTCTGCTGTCGACCAAAAATGGAGCGTTTGGCAGGGTGGGGCGGGGTTCCCAGTCTCGTGGAGCCGGCCCCACGGGGACATGTATGGTTCGTGCACACGGCACAGCAGGCCCACCAGGCCCACCGAACTCGGGCACCACGGTCTGTGAGCCCGGTTCTTTGTGGATGTGGACTGAGTGCAGTCCTCACGGATCCTGCTTCTCAGCCAGGGAAGCAAGACTAACTGATGACATAGACGAGCCCTGGGGTCTCCTGCCTGGGGAGGTGCAGGGGGGACGGTGTGACCTTGACACCGTGAGAGCCCAGCCAAGGCCAGACCTCAGCTGTACTGCTCCTTCTGGCTGTTCCTTAGTTTTCTGGAAAAGGGAACCTCTGCAAGCTGACCAGCGTAGTGTCTGCACTGGCCATGTGTCAGCCCAGCCTGCCGAGTGTGGGCTCCAGTCAGCTCTGGGTGCCAAGGCCGCCCCTCCTCCCGGGGAGCAGCCACGACCTGCGGCTGCTCTGCTCTCTAGCTGCGGTGCTGAGTCTGTCTGGTGCTTCTGCAGAACGTACATGGAAAGTCAGGGATGATCTAAAGTGAAGTTCTTATCTTTTATACAAATGTGGTCTTAGCTCCATATGTAAAAGAAGTGGGCCTGTCATGATCCCAGCGGGGGGATCGAGGAGACTCCTGAGGCCCCCAGAGCCCGCGGCCGGGGAAGCCGCTGCAGAGAGAGGCAGCCTCGGTGCCCAGCACAGGGCAGAGTGCAGGGGGCCAGACCCCACGCCGGGGCCCAGACCCCGCTCACAAGGGCATCCTTCAGAGAAGCCTGCTGCCCTCTGGGCGGTGGGCCGAGGGGCAGCGCTGCAGGCCCACGGCGCCCGGAGCCCCGGAGCTGCCCCAGGGGCCCGGCCCGGGCAGCCAGTGATGGCCGTCCCTCCTTGGCTCTGGCAGAAAGAAGAGAAGACGGCCGCCAGGTCCTCGATGCTGGAGGTGGAGAAGCGGGTAAGCGTCTCCTTCCCTCGCCTGCTCCTCCCTCGGAGTCTCTGACCTTGTCTGTGCCGATGGCAAAGGTTCATCTCAAGGCCCCACCACATTCCTTCCCAGCTCGGTCGTAGATTCCGTCTGACGCTGGGCAGCAGCTCAGTGCTGGCCCTTTGGCTCCATCAGATGGCCAGTGCTTGCACATGTCCGGGGGAGGGGGGGGGTCCTCGGGTCCCTGCTGCCTGTTGGCTCCGCCCCCACGGAGCAGAGGGAGTCTCAGCAGAGCCCAGCTCGGCGCTGTGACCAAGGGAGGGTACCCGGTTCAGTTGCTGACCTCCCGACCGCACTCAGGACCTTCTGCTGGGATTGGACGTCCTTAGATGGGGAGACTCGGATTCGTTGATGAGCCCGAGCTCTGACTGACCCTGGAGGCACTGGCCTGGGAGGCTCTCCGGTTAACTTGGAAAGCAGCTGACTTCATGACGTCTCCCTCGGCCTGATCACGGAGCCTCACTGCCCAGGGAGACCGTGCCTGTGGGGGCGGGGGGGGCTCCACAGCAGCAGGGAGCACTCGGCCTGGCTCCCAGCGTGCTGCAGCCCTGAGGCGCTGGGCCTGGAGGGAGCCCAGCCCGTCGAGCAGGGGCTCTGGCCACCTGCACCATTGAACCCCGGGCAGAGCTCAGGTGCCCCGTGTTGCCCCGTCGCATGCTTCTGACTGTGGTGGGAGGGGCAGAGAATGTGGCTTCTGTCCTGGAGCAGGGCGGGGCCCGCAGCCTCTGTGTGCAGTGCCTGAGCCTTGACCCTGCTGGTCACACGTTGTCTCCACAGGAGAGGCGTGCCCTGGAGCGGAAGATGTCAGAGATGGAGGAGGAGATGAAGGTAGGGGTCCCCTCTCTGTGCGCCCCAGGGCTGAGCCCTCAAGCACAGGCTTCTCTGGGAGCAGTGCTGCCTCGGGTCCAAGGGGACGCTGGACGCTGACCTGGGTGGACGGTTGCGGTTTCCCAGGCACTGGCTCCATCGAGGGGCTGGGGGGACAGCTGCAGCTCCCCCCTCCCGTCGCGGCACCGGCAGAAAGAGCCGATCTGAGCTGTGCTGCAGCTAGGTCGAGTGCACACACGCTGGTCTCCGCCCTGTTTGTTCCCCAGAAAACCCAGTAACGTCCAGTCTGTCTAGGGACAGAGACTGAGGCCACAGACACACTTCAGGGCTCACTGTCGTCCCCCCCACTGCAGCCTGCAGTGACCAGAGTGCTGCCCGAGGGGCCCGTCCCTGAGTGGAAGGGCCATGGAACTGTGGCCGGCCGCCTGGGGGCTGGGAGCACCCCACCCTGCCGTGCATGATGCCCAGCCCGCAGCCGCTTAGCTGGCTCAGCTTCCCGCCTTCCTCCAGGGCCTCCATCCCTCAGCTGAGACAGCGTTTGCCTGGTGACAGAGGGGTGGTCCCCACCCTGGGGTGCAGGTGCCTTGGCGTGCAGGTGGGAAGAGCGTTGTCGCACTGGCCTCCGGACGTTGGTGTTTATGGAAAAGGCTTCCAGGACCTGCCCAGGGCTGTGCCTTTGGAGGCAGAACCCTCACGACCTTGGCTCACAGTGTGAAGTCTGTGCGACCGCCCTGAAGGCCTCTCTCTGAGAAGGCACCCGGTTAGCTTTCAGGCTCCTCACGCAGACGCGTGTGCTGAGCCATGGCCAGAGTGTCCGTCCAGGCTGGGCTGGTCGGGCTCAGGGCAGGGCCACACTGTTGCACACTCAGTTCGCGGACACTCTCGCCTTGGAGCGTGGGCCCAGCAGGCGGAGGGGGGAACTCCGCAAACCCTCCCAGAGCCGGGCTTGGCGACAGGACGTGCCTCCCGTCCCTGTTGCTGACTCGGGTGGGTCAAGTATGAGGCCAGGTGGGACGCGGGACGGAGAACCACGAGCCGTGTGCGGGCTCTGTGGTGGCTGCCTGCCCTGCCTGCCCGTCCTGCCCAGGCGCCAGGCCGGCTCGGGGTGCACGCCGGTGGGGCCGTGCCTGCGTCAGGCCTGCTCACTTCTCGGCCGCAGCCTCTGAGAAGCACCAGCCCTTCCCAGGTCCTTGCCCAGCAGCCGTCCATGCTTGATCGGGGCTGGGTTTACTGTTTCCTCTGGTAACACCCCAGGGCTGCTGCCTGAGCCCCCGCGCCCGTGCCTCTGCCTGTCCAGTGCCATTCCCCTGGAGAGTGCCCCAGACAGCTCCTGCCTCCATCCTGCTGAGACCCTCCAGACCTCCCAACCCGTATGCAGGCATGCGAGGGGCGTCCCACGTCCGTGGCACACAGCACGCACCAGGGGCTTCCATGTCCGCGTCTGGACTGCTCCTCCCAGGAGGCGGGGCCTGTGCGGCGGCAGAGCCGGTGCTGAGAGCAGTGGTCGTTTCAGCCCAGAGGAGGGAGAGCCAGGGACTTGCCGGGCCCCTGCCGTCCGCTGGCGTCTCCGTGTGCTGCCCGGGGCCTAGCTCCATCTTCCCTGCAGCCCAGGACGGCGTGCTTGGTCCCTGCCCTTCAGTGGCGACCTGGTGCCCACGCTGTTCTGAGCTGGCCATGCCCCTCTGGGAACAGTACTCAGCGTCTATCTCTGCCTGTGTTTCCTTTTCTCTGTCCCCCTCATGCCACCTCATCTCCTCGCTCTTCACTCAGACGACTGTAACCCTAACCCTGCATCTGTCCTGGCACCTTCCCGTGGCCACTACCGCCCACAGACTGTCTCTGCATTCATGAAGCCGATTCGCACACCAACCCTTCCCCCGCCTGGGGCTGCCGGCCTGCAGGAGGGACATGCAGCAGTGAGCGGCCGTGTCAGTGCTCATGGGCCCCGTGAGGGCGCAAGGGGTCAGGGCCAGTCAGGCTGGTTCCTCTGCACCGTCCAGCCCCCCTGCTGTCGCTGCGTGTGCACTTCCCCAGCGTCTCCGTGGGCTGGATGGAGTGGAGGGCGCCCTGGACAACTCGGTGCAGGGCAGGTGGGCTGTGGCCCCTGGGTCCTGGAGTGACAACCTTCCCTCAGAGCAGGTCAGAGGTCAGAGGACCATCCACGTTTGAACATGTCACTTCAGCTTCTAGCAGCCCTGCACAGAGAATGCCTGCCCAGAGGCCCCTTTACCTTTAAAGGAAAAACCAATGCAGTAAAGAAGGGCCCATAAAGGAAAGCCAGAGCAGAGGCCCCCCTGGGAAGATGGGGGCACCAGCAAGGGCCACGGTGCACCCTGAACACCCAGTGATGGAGGAGGGTCCCTGGGGCTGTGGCTCAACCACAGCAACCCAGCTCAGAGCCCCACAGGCCCAGCCGTGGGGGGGCTGTCACCCTGAAAAGCAAGCAGACGTGCTTTGGGGCCGGAGCCTGTGCATGGCTGGCGCTGCCGGGAATGGGGCCCCCGCTGGTGCTTCCCCGCCCACGACTCCTCTCTCCTGCCCTTTCCTGCACCGACTCGAACTAACCAGTCATGTGATCTCTGCTCTGCTCTCATCTCCTGGTCTGTCTGTCTCTGTCTCTCTGTCCATCCTCCATCCCCTGCAGAACCTCCACCAGCTCAAACAGATCCAAACCCTGAAGCAGATGAACGAGCAGCTGCAGGCTGAGAACAGGGCCCTGGCCCGCGTGGTGGCCCGGCTCTCGGCGGCCATGGAGTCCTCGCAGTCGCAGGAGCTCTAGGGCCCTGCGCCTCACCCCCTCCTCCACCTGTGCAGGCAGGTCCCCGTGCGCTTCTCGCTGCTCCCGGCAGCGCCGGGCCCCCACCTGAGCCCCGCAGGGGCTGCAGAGGTCAATCGTGAAGCAGCAGGACCGAGGCCTCAGGGCAACACCGCCTGGGTCAGGGAGGGGAGCTGCGGCCGGAGACTGACGGGACATGCCCCTCGGCGGCACACGCCCCTCGGCGGCACACAGGTGTGCTGGGCACAACCTCCAGTGTGGGTCAGTCCACGCTTCCTCTGCCCACCCAGGTGCAGCCTGGCCTGGGGGCTGACCGAGGTCAGACTCGCATGTAGACGTGTCTGGGCCACCCCACAAGGGGCAGGGGTCTGGGTCGAGACCCAAAACTCCCTGTTGCTGCTTCTGTGAAGCCACGTGGTTGAGAACCATGGCCTTTTGGGGACCACACAGAGCCCGCTCCCACCTCTGACCATGTGGCAGGTGGGGGCTGAGCTGAAGGCCCGAGCTGCGTGGCCCAGGGTAGGACAGGATACACTCCCGCCTGGTCTCCATCCTCCCTCCCGGGAGCAGGCTGTCCCCGCCACCACCAGTCGGTCCTGGCACCTGCCGGCCCCGTCGTGTGGCCCAGCGGTGGCAGGCCAGGGCCAGCTTGCAGAGGCAGGTGGGACTCATTTTCCCCTGGGAACCGAAGTGTGTGGTAAGCTGAGCCTCTCCCAAGTGTGGACTGAGGGACGAACCCACAGGCACCACGTGCTGCAGCCCGAGGGCTGAGGGTCTGGGTGGCTGTCTAATTCACGAGGCAGCCTTGTGAGCCTGGCCAGGGTCGCCTCTGCCTGCTCGTGGTGCCTTCTGGTCAGCAGCTCGTGCCTGCTAGATGGACGTCCATGGCACAGACCTCACGCTTCCACGTCACCTCCAGGCTCTGGAGGACTTGAGCTGGGTGGTCGGCCACAGAGGCCTCGTTGCTCTTGGGGTCCCTCTCCGGCAAAGCCCCGCCAGCGTGGGGGTGAAATCTGCCTCAGGGGCTGGTGACCACAGTGACGGTCACCATGGTGACGCCGTGTGTTGAGGCCTGGCCGGCGCTATATGTGCTCTTCCTCACTCACTGCCTGAATGGTCAGCCTTCCGACGAGAAAGCCGAGCTCCAGACTCCATCCCTCAAAGTAAGTGGGGGTCCAAGTTCAAGCTGAGGGTGTGAGGTCCAGAGCCCCAGCCTGACCCACGCCCCACGCCCCCCTGTGGAAGGCTCACCCGCGAGCCCTTGACCTGCGGAGGGCAGGCCTGGCCCTCGGACGGCCCCTGAGCCATTCGCATAGTTAGAGAAAATGGAAAGAATGTTCCGAGACACATGAAATTATATGAATCAAATTTCAGTTTCCAAAAATAAAACTTTATTGGAACTGAGGCAGGCTGGCTTGTCCGTGTGGTCGCCACACCTGTGTCTGGGGATGGCCGCCAAGGCCAGTGGCCCAAACCTGAGCTGTCCACAGCCCAGCCCCGTGCAGAGACACCTGCGGGGGCCACAGGCCCTGCCTCCGTGCTGGTGGTTTCCATGGTCCCGCCGCCTGTCCCAGTGCCGCGCAGCCCCGCCCCCGCGCCCCGCCCTGTCTCTGCCTGTTCTGTCTGTCCAAGGCACCACGTCAGACCGCGGTCACCTGGGGGCAGAGGTTAGGAGCAGATGTCCAGAGTTTCACTGACCCAGCACGGTCACGCCTCGGGGGTGTTCTGACCGGCCACTCAGGCGAGAGCAGTCCGGCCCGTTTCCTGCCCTCCGGTCAGGGCAGCTGGGATGTTGCCTTGCACAGCTTTTTACTTTTTAAAGAATTAAGTTTTTTGTGTCACCCAGGCCTGACGAGTAGTTTGCACGTTTCTACAAGGGATGGAGCCCTCGTCAGCTTGGCTCAGTGGTCAGAGCAGACTGAAGAGTCCCAGGTTCGATCCCCAGGCAGGCCACATACCCAGGTTCCAGGCTAGCGCCCCAGTCGGGGGGCATGGGAAGCTCCCCCTTCTCCTCCCCTCTCTAGATCAAAGAAAAGGTGCCCTCGGGTGGGGGGCGTGCTCAGGCCGGAGGGATGACATGCAGCCAGGTGCCCGTGTGACCCCACAGGCTCAGCAGGTGGGGCTGGGGCAGGGGCAGGAGGGTCTGATCCTGAGTCGGCATTTTCTGGACTGAGCCCCTGGGGAGCCTGCGGTGGGGCAGGAGCTGAGCCTGCAGAGCCTGCAGCTCGGACATGCGGCCCCGTCACTGGGAGGACCCCACAGGTTTGGTACCAGGAGGTCAAGCGGTCCCTCCAGGGGCAGAGTGCCCACAGCAAGGCCAGCGCTCAGCTGCCTCCGGTCTTGTCCGCCCCAGGCCAGCTCTGCGGACAGGGGGCCTTTGGAGTCACGCACACGCAGGTTCGGCATCAGGTGTGAGCAGCTGGGCACCTCAGAGAAGTGAGGCCAGGAGTGATGTCCACCCCACATGTCATGGTGTCCACTTCGTTCCCTAGACCAGCCTGACGTGTCTGCCACGCACCTGGCTCTGGGGTTCCCGTGCCCCCTGGGGGACACATTAAGCTGCTGTCCTGTCGGGGCCCCTAGCTGCAGGCCGTGCCCCCTGTGCCCAGCCCCCATCACTGGGAGAATCACCTGCCCAGGCCTTTGGGTTAGTGCCGTCACCAGGCACCTGCCCTGACGTCACCGGTGTGGGTTTTGGGGCCTCTGACCCAGCTGTCCTGCTCCGGCAGCACCCACACAGGCCTGCACGCCAGACCCGTGGGGGTTCCCACGTGTGCGGGCTCTGGGCCGCTGCAGCCCCGCTCCCCAAGTTGGATGGCACGACGTTCCCAGTGGCCCAGGCACCTGCTCCCGAACGGCAGCCCCGCCGAGCAGCTGCCGACAGCCCCCCTGACCCTCAGGCCTCCTGGTGCCGGGGACCGGGGAGCAGAGCTGGGGGAGCATCAAACCTGACGGTCCGGATGCCGGTGGTCGAAAGTGGGCGCGTAGGCTCTGCCACAGGAGGCCCTGAGGCCAGGGCTGGGCGCATCCTGCCCCGTCCCCCCCCACACACACACTGCCTCCCTGGGCCCTCCAGCTCACTTGTCCCAGCTTCTTGAGGCTGCAGGTGGCTTCAGGGGCGGGATCGAGGGTGTGCAGTGTGGGGCGTGAGGCCCGTGTACCAGGAAGCGGGACGTACTGGTCCAGGTGCAAGGCTGTGCCCTTGCCAACCAGGGACACGAGGTCTGGGGCGTCCATCCCTGGGAGCAGGGCAGTGGCCGCCCCCTGCACAGGCTGCCCCAGAGGCCTGCTCCCTGGGCTGCCCGGCCTGGTCACATCAGGCTGTGACACCCCTTCCCTCTGCCCCCACAGGTGTTAACAGAACTGAAATCCGACAACCAGAGGCTAAAAGATGAGAACGGCGCCCTCATCAGAGTCATCAGCAAGCTGTCCAAGTAGCCAGGAGCCAAGAGGCGGTCGGTGCCTCCGCCTCGGGCTGCGGGAAGGTCTGTCCCCGCCCTCCCGCGTCACCTGCTGTGCCGTCTGTGCCCCCCATGCTGGCCCTGCCCCACCTGCACCGGGATTTACCCCAGTTCTCACAGGGCCTGGCGAGGGCCGCTGTGTCCCACCCAGCTGTGGGCCCTGTGCCCCTCGGCACAGAGAAGCTGTGGGGTGGTCGTCACGTTTGTTAGGTCCCAGGGGCGCGAGCACTGCCCCGCTCAAGCCACCTCGGACCTGCGTTCCCCTAGCTCCGCGTGGTGGCGGCTTCTGTCATCAGCTGTCACACCCCTGAGTAGTTCTGCGGCTCGGTGGCCCTGGTTCCAAGTCCCGTCCTTCCTACTTCCTCCCTCTGCTCCACCGCTCACCGCACTGAACACAGGACCGGGCCCTGTCCCCGAGAGGCACCGGTGCCCACCTGGGTTCCCTCCCACTGTCCCCGGCAGGTGGCTCTGTCCTGCTCGCTCTGGCTCCTGGTCTGAGGAGAAGGACATGCCCCAGGGCAGATGGAGAGCTGGGCAGGGGGCGGGTGGGGCAGGTGTGGGTGGCAGAGGCCGCGCCCTGGAGCCTGCACTGCAGGGCATTTGTTTAGGGGGAGACGCTTGTTTCCTAGACGCGCAGAAGGAGTCGGTCACCAGTCTGGAGGTGAGGGCTGCAGGGCCTGAGCCCTCAGCCAAGCTCTGCACTGGACTGCCCCACAGCTCCAGCCTGTGGCCAGGTGGGGGGGGGGGGGGGCACACAAATACCCAGGAAGTTTTCTGATGTGAGTTGAGGTCTGGGGTGCTCCCGCCGTCCTGAGCCGTTAGATGGGACAGCTGGGTGCTCTGGCGGCTGGTCACCTTGGCCCTCCTCCTGGGCTAACACCGCCTTGTGGACGGCTTGCCTGCAATCAGACCTCAGTTTTTCACGGTGGCCCAGCACCCCCCTTGGGCACGTGCCTTGTGCCAGCGCTTCACCCCATGCGTGTGAGGCCCCCTGAGTGCCCTCTTCATCGTGCGGCTGCTGGTGATGGTTCTTAGCGTGGTCCATTCTCGGCCTCCGTCACCGTATTACTTCCTCCCAGAAAGTGCAGCACGTCCTGCACAGTGCTCTCAGCCAACGCCCACGCGGGATGAGCGCTGCCCCGTGGGACCCTCACTCCGGACACCCACCACGGGCCTGCGGTGTGGGCTCAGCCCCAGGCACCTCCTCCTAGGGACAGTCCTGGCCGACCCCTGGCACGCCCTGGGTGTGGGGAGGGACGGGTGGCTGCCCCTACTCAGGAAAAGACGGTGGAATCGGGACGACGGCCGCCCCTCTCCCCTGAGCAGGCAGGCGGAGGGGCCCGGAGCTGTCAGCCTGTGTGCCTTCCGTACGTGGGACGGCTCTCAGACTCGGCTGTGCCCTCCGCTTTCAAGATGCCTTTTCTTGCCAGAAAGTTCTCCTTGTGGTGATGAAGTGACTAGTTTTTCACTCTCAGGAATACCGGGTCTATGGCCGAGAACTCGTGAAAGTGTAGCCCCTGGGGTGCCGGCCTTGCTGCCTGCCGTCGGCTTTATCAGACGGACTGGGTTCTGGTGTCTCCAGGGAGCAGACGCCACATCCTCGCGCCCGCTGACCAGAGCCCGCTGTGCGCGGACCTGGGGCCACAGCAGGGCCACCTGCTGCGTGGACGGTGAACTGGGCAGCTGTCTGTGGAATGTCGGTGGGGAGGGCAGGGCCCTGGCCAGCCCACACCCTGTGCTCCTCGGCATCTCAGCCGACCTGCGGGGTGAGGTGGCCGCAGGGGCCCCACCGGGGCCTCCCTTCCCCACCGCTCTGGGCACGCTGACCGGCTGTCGCTGCCAAGCAGTCTGAAGAACAGGAGGCCCTGAGCTCTGCCGGGCAGGCTCCTTGGCTGGCGCCTGGCCCGCGTCCCACTGTGGGCGGCTTCTCCTCGAGCCGGGGCCTGGCCCTGGCCGCTCTTGGAGACCAGGATGTGCTGCCCGCTGAGGCCTGCAGAGGTGGTGTCAGGTCGGTTCACCGTCCTTTTGCCCTAAACGAGACGGGCGCTGGCCCGAACGTCGCACTCAGGAAGTAAGGAGCCGAGACCCCGCTTACCAGCCTGTGAACCCCACAAAAGTGTGAACTACTGACCGTCTCCCCGGGGCTTTAATTGAGCCAGAGTGGAGAGAACGGGAAAGTCAGAGCCGTGCGCTGGGCTGGGTCTTTGCCTACCGGCCCCTGGCCCCTGGCCCCTGGCCGCCCAGACAGGTGGTGTTTCTGTCCTACTGGGCACATGAGGTGGCCGAGGGACCATGGGGCACAGAGCTCTGTGGTGTGTCCAGGCTGCTGGCTCCCCGGAAGGGAACCCCGAAGGGACCCTGCAGCCAGGCCGATGGGAACGGGGCTGCTGGTTCCCTGGGCCCGGACCTTGGGTGGCTCTGCCTGAGCCCGTCCTCCCTTTAAGGCACCGCCAGGCCAGGCCAGGCCGCCCCACTGAACACAGCTGTCCCTGCCCACAGCTTGGCCACTGTGCTGCAGTCCCCACGCCGTGTGTGAGGTGGATCTTGCCCCGTGATGAGTCCTGTGACCCAAAACAAGGACAAGGCAGGGAGTGGGGCAGAGTTAGGGGTCTTTCCCTGGACGAGTCCGCAGAGGAGACTCGGTTGTCCGGTCCTGCAAGGACCTCGCTCTCGAAAGGCTGGTGGGGTGGGGCGGAGGGGCAGGGCCCCCAGGGGGGAGGGGCAGAAGCTCCGGCCCTGGGATGAAGAGCGCAGCGGCCGCCAGCCTGGGGCAGGGTCTGCAGCGGAGCTTGTGCAGGGCAGCTGGCGGCTCTCCCGGGCGGGTGCCCACCTGGTGGGAGCCCACCTGGCGGGAGCAGGGCCCTTCAGGGCCAGCCGGGTGGAACATCAGTCAGAGTTGGGAAGGCGGTGCCTCGGCACGTGCACGAGGGCGGCCTGAGCCTGCCCCGTGGTGGGAGTGGGCCCTGGGAAGGAGTCCTGGTCGGCGGGCAAGTGAGTGAGTCTGTGCGCCGTCTGCCCGCGTGGGCGTGGGGTGTGCGCTGGCCCCGGTCACCTGCTGTCCCTGCCCCCCAGCCCCTTAGCACTAGGGTGGATCTGCAGAGGTTTCGTTTCTCCTCCGAGTTCCCCTGAGGCTCTAGTGAGCTTGGGCAGCCCAGAGGTGGCACCGAGACACTATGCCCCTTCCAGCCCCAACACCGCCACCCACGCACCTCCTACCACGTCCCCTGCTCCCTGCCTCCTCACTGGGAGCTGATGGTGCTGCAGAGGTTTTCCGTGAACCAGCCACCACCGCGTCCTGCCCAGCTCAGCTCCCTGGGGGCTGCCGGCTGCACAGACCTGAGCTCGGACTAGGACCTGCGACTCTCACCGCCTGGCAGGGTCCGTGGCTCGTGTCCTGAGCTGTGGCCACCTCTCTCTGGGACATTGTCAGAGCCTGGGGCAGCTCCGGCCTGCGGACAGCAGGGAGCTCGGGCCTCCCCAAAACCAGCACAGAACCTGAGGAAGGGACGCCTGGAAAAGAGGTTCTGGGGGGACGCAGCCCCCGAGCCCACCTCCCTGAACCCGGAAAGGCCTGGACATCACCTGCTCACCTGCAGGCCGCGAGGAGGGAGACGGTCACCCTTGGGCCCGTCCAGAGAGGGGCCCGGTGTGCTCTGGTGTCCTCTGCCTTGACCTGGGTCACACGGGTCCGAGCCTCTCCTGTCGTGTCTCCGCCCGCTCCACCCCTCGGTCCCCCATCAGTGGGCACAGAGGTGAGGCCCCGCTGCAGCCCCTTGCACACACCTGGGGCTGGGAGGGAGGGGCTGCTGTGAACCGAATGTACTTCATGCACTTCTGAGTGGCCTTCCCACCTGTGGTGAGTGGACTTGCTTTACTGGTGGTGGTCATGTGACAGCACTGAGTGTTCTGTGTGGGAGTTTGGGATATATTCACACCTGTATGCCTGTGAACACAGCAGTATTTATAAACGAATCAATAAACTGTCAGCTTTGTGACTGTGTCCACAGCTTGGTTGGCGGGGTCCGTGGGCCCCCATGTCCGGGCCCATCACCCTCCTGCCTCTGTCCCGGGACCACAGGCCACCACCACCGAGAGCAGGGTCCGTGGAGTCCGGGGCGAGGCCTCGACCAGGATCGGCAGGACGAGGACCCAGTGTCGGCGAGGAGTGTGGTTTCTATGGAAACAGGGCAGGACTCCGTGACAGGTGCCGCGCCCTTCCGGGTGGACACTCATGCCCTCTGCACCCACGTGACAGTCACAGGTTGGACAGATCCAACCTCAAAGGGGTGGTCCCAGAGGAGGCCGCCCCCACGCCTCCAGCCTGGCCTCCGCTCCGGACAGCAGGACAGACGCCCGCTGTCGGCTGATGCCTTCAGACCCTCTAAACCCAGGACAGTGAGCGTTTCTGACACCTGGGCTCCTGGTCGGCAACTCTGTGGGGACAGTGTCACCTGGGGGCCTGCAGTGGCCATGATGGGGACCCTCGCCAGCCGCACATCTGAAGACTGCGACAGGGCCATTGAGGACCCCGCAGATTCCCACTCTCCAGACTCCCCAGAGCAGGGGCCGCTGTCCCTCAGGAAGACACCGCTCGGCCCTGGCCCACCCGCGGCCCCGCCCAGCGAGCAGCCAGAGACGCCCCTCCCTCGGGTTTCTCTCAGCTCATTTCTTTAATGAGAGAAGCTTGTTACAAAATAACAGTTTGACAAGAGATCAGACAGGAACGAGGGTCCACATGGGGGTGGAGAGCATTGCTGAGCGGGGGTCCGGGTGGGGCCAAGCAACCAGGGGACCAGACAGGCCAGGGTCGGCCTGCCTGGTTTTGAAGTTTCCAGAAAGCAGCGAATCCAGTCCTTAGATGGGGTCAGGGTGCAGGGCCAGGCCCCTGAGGGGTCTTGGTCCTGCTGGCACGGTCCTGGGTGGGACCCTCTGCCCGTCCCCAGGTCACCGCCACGGCAGACACATTGGCCTTCACTTCTGTCTGCTGGGGGGATGGCTGCAGAGCAGCCCCTGGCCCCACCCTCTCGGAGACGGCCCCTGCGCCCCCCTGCGCCCCCCCCCCCCCCCGTGTCACCCTGCCTCAGACCTGCAGTGAGCTCCCGGGACTCCTGCCTCGGGTCAGGGGGCAGGCGCTGCAGGCCAGAGCCCCGTGGGCCTGAGCGACCCCGTCCAGCCTGCCCTCCACTCCCAGGAGCCGGGCAGCCCCCGGTGGGACACAGGGGAGGCGTGTGGAGGAGCGGAGCCCTGTGCTGGCTGCCCAGAGGCCTGACCCCGCAGCGTGAAGTGAGCCCTGGGTGGAGGCGGGACCCTGACCACAGGCCGAGCCCCTGACCGGCTGCACCTGAGCGTCCGGGTTGTCTTGGCCCTTGGAAAGGGGCCCAAACCATGGCGTGCCCAGCACAGCCCTGCCCACCGCGGGTGCAGACGGGGTGGGGAGCCAGCTGGCCAGGCCCCACCAGAAGCCCTGGACACCTTGGTCCTCATGACGGGCTGAGCAGAGGGAGGCAGCGGGTGAGCCCTTCGTGAGTGGTCCGTGGGAGCCAGGCAGGGGACGGGGCTCCTGGCGGGGCCCCTTTATGGCTTTTCAGTGAATCCACACACTGGGTTGAGGGGATGCCACACAGACACGGGACACCAGACACTGGGCTGGACACAGCATGGTGCACCGGGGGTCGGCCGGCCCTGCGGACAGGTGGCCCTGGGGGACGGGCCTCCAGGCACCAGAGACTCGGCAGGGCAAAGGGGGGCAGTGACGCAGACTCGAAGGTGTCGGGCGCTCGGCCCTGCCATGCACTAAAGGGCAGACATGCATCTCGGGACGTGGTCGGTCAGACGTCTCAGGGAACTGCACACACGGGGAGGGGCAGACGAGGCTCCGTCGGCTTCGGGAGGTTCTGGTTTTGTCACTTAAAAAATAAAGTCTATTCACATGTCTTCACGTCACAGGGTCCCCTTCATGTTGCAGCCCCCAAACCAGGGAAAGTGAAGCCCTTGGCGACCAGTCTTCAGCCAGGACGAGGGGTGGGGCATGGGACAGGAGAGCACAGCCGGCCAGCTACGTCGTGATTCCGGGGACACAGCAAAGCACATTCAGCGGAGTGGCCCCAAGTCATGCCTGGGACATACCTACACTTTAAAAGTATTCACTGTTCACCCGAAATTCAAATTTAACTGGGCATCCTGAGTGATTTACCAGATCTGGCAACTCATCTGTCATGGGCTCAGGCCTTGGGACACTTCCCGATCGGCCACCCCCTGGGGGCAGGGGGAGGAGGCCGAGTGGAGGAGGGGACAGCTCGGGGCTCAGTTTCTTCCTGCCTTTGGGGGAGGGACACCAGGGACAGCCTGTCTCTGTGAGCTTGGGCAAGACCACCAGTTAACTCAGGATGTTAAAGGACCTTGGGGTCTCTCACTCCCTGACCAAGGAGGGTTCTCAACCTCTGGCCTCACCCTCAAGCACCCCACTACCTCGAGGCTGCAGCAGCCCACCTTCCTTCCCGCTGAAGCCCGGGGCCAGCACCGGCACCCCAGACGGAGTCTGCAGGAGACGAGCGAGAGATTCGCCTCCCGCTCATGCCCAGCACCTGCTCCCCCCACAACCTCCACAGTCCACACACCTGCCTGTGCCCTGGCCCGGAGGGTTCCGGAAGGACCCTGGAAGGACCCTCCAGGAGGAAGGACAGAATGGAGCCGCTGGGCCTCACCTGGGTTTCAGAGTGGGGCTGGGGTGGGTTTTCATGGCTCCCGGAGGAGGCTCACGGGGTGGGCCTGCGTCCCAGCACCCTAACGGCCCAGGAAGAAACCCACAGAGCAGAGGGCTCGGGGTGACACTCTGGCGTGGGTGACGTCACTCAGCCCGTGAGAGGACACAGGGAGGCTGGACTGTGCCGTCTGCTGCGGCAGCTCATCTGAGCCAAAGGCTCTGACACCTACGAGTCTGTCGGCCCCCTGCCCTGCCCCTTGAGGCTGCCCCCAGAGGTGGGCACAGGCGGACACCATCACCAGAGGTGCATAGGGCTTCCTTTCCTTTGAGGACGGGGCCAACCCCGGCTCGGGAAGCCTCCCCGTGGGAGCAGGGGGGCTGGGAAGAGGCGACAGGAGGAGGGAGGGGGTGAGGATAGGGCCACCCTGAGAAAACAGCTTAACCCACTGCTCAGGAGGGGAGCTGCGCCCAGACCTTCGACCTGCCTCGACAGCACCCCGCGTTCCCGCGATGCTCATTGTCCTGCCTGTCAGGGCCTCTCGCCGCATCGTGAGAACACACACGTGCGCACATGGGGTCCCAAGGCCGCTCTCGAGCAGTGCCTCAGGGGCTGGCGAGGCTGAGCGCCCGGCCTGTCCCGGGCCGTTCCCTCACCCCTACTCCAGCCGAAAGGTGGCAAAGACCAAAACCGCCTCCTCCCCATGAAGGAAGGACCCTGCACCTTGTTCACGCTGCACCCTCACTCCTGGTCCACCCACACTGGCCACCTGTGCCCGGTGCCAAGCAAGCTGAGGGCCCAGGTGGGGCAGCTTCTAGGAAGGAGCTCGGGGGCCGGGGGCCGGGGAGGGCCTGCAGGCTGCAGGGGGGGGGGGCAAGGCTGGGGGTGGCACCTGGGGGCTGCCTCCTGCCCAGGCTGCAGGTTTGGAAGGGGACTCAGTGCAAACTTGAGGAACATATATATGGCTTTTTATCAATGCTGGGGACAGCGGCGGACATGGATCGGGCACAGGAGTGGGGTGCAGGAGCCCCCATGTCTTCCACTGTCTGAAAGGGTGCCCTGCCTCTTGGAATTTAGAGATGCCTCCCTGAGGAACGGTGGCGGGGTCCCCCCGACAGACGCTGGGCCAGCCGGCTGCCCACACGCCGCCGCCGCCGGCAGGAAGGGCATCTCCCTCCTCTGGGAAACCTGCCGTCTGTCTGTGCACCACTCTCCCCTCTCACCTGGACCTCAGGGGAACCGGGAGCAGTTCACCTTCCCTCGTGAGCTCTCGGGCCCAGATGACGTGTCCTCCGACAGGCTGCTCCACTTGGATGACAGAGAAACAGGCCAAAGCATGATGGGAAACGAGCAGCCGGTCCCTCCCGGGGCGGGCCAGGGGGTGCCGGGGTCTCCCGGGCAATGCCTCTCCTGTTTCTTCCTGGCTTGACAGGAACCGTCACCGAGAGCGAGGTCCCAGGACTGACAGTCCCTCTTGGAGTCTGCGGATCTAGCGACCAGTTCAGCCCACGAATGTCCCGGAAACCACGGCTGGGAGCAGGCAGTCTGTGATGTCGGGGGGCTGGTCCTTCTCTGGACAAACCCAGGCTCCGCGTCCTGCCTCCCAGACGGCCGCCCACGAGGAGGGTCTCCCGTGGTGTCTGGGTCCCCGACGAGCCTCCGTCCCTGCAGAAGCTCCGTCCCCGGCTCCTTCCCGGACACCCGGCGGGCTGGCCAGGGTGTCGCCTTCCTGACAGGAGGCCGGAAGTGCCCTGTCCTTGGTCCAGAACACAGAACTCGGGACGTGCTGCGACTCTGCCACAAGGGGGCGCCGCTCCGGTGAGGCTTAAGTGAAGCGTGGCCTTGAGGGGACGGACGGGCATGCAGCGGGCAGCGCCTGGGACGGACGGGGGCCAGGGTCCGGTCCCGCGCAGGGGTGCTCCCCGCAGAGCCACCAGAGGGAAGCGTCTTTAAAAAGACAAAAGGGAGGGAGACGAGGGCGCGACCATGAACAGATGGAGGGGCTCCAGGGGCGGGACTGAGGTATTGAGAGCTCTGGCCTCGTCCAGTCCGAGCCGGCGGCGCAGGTCCGCGCGGCGGCTACTTGTTCTTGCCCAGCAGAGCGTCCACCTCCTCCTCGGGCTTCAGCGAGTGCCACTGGGCGATGGGCCTCCGGGGGTTGGCCAGCATGTCCGACCAGTGCCGCAGCTCCGTGCCCGTGGCGTTGCTGCCCACAAAGATCTTGCCAATGGCCTCGTTCTTGCCCAGCTTGTCGTAGTCCAGCACGGTGACCACCACCTGGACTTTCTGTGCGAAACGAGGGAGGGCAGGGTTGGCTCCCGCGACCGAACGTCTCCCCTCCGCCCAGACGGCCGCGCGCGCCCCGAGGCCCGGGCACCTGGATCTGCTCGAAGGGGATCTCGAAGCTGAAGGACTCGTTGAAGTAGGGGTTCAGGGTCTTCTTCTTCACTGTCGTCTTCTTCTTCTTCAGCCGCTTGCCGTTCTGCATCAGGTGGATCTTCACGTAGGGGTCTGCATGGGGAGAGCAGCCCAGAGGTGCCCCCGCTCCTCCCCGCGGCCGTGCCAGCTGCCCCGTTCGGGGCCCCAGGCCTGGTCTCCCTTGAAGACCACCTCTGCCCCCCTGTGGCTGCTGCGGGCATTGCATGAGGCCCCCTGAGCCCGCCAGGCCCTGGGCAAGTGTGAGGCTGCCTGAGGTCCCCACCCCACCTCGTCCTCCCCACCTGGCAGGTGAGAAACTGAGGCCCACAGAAGAGACCTGCCCTGCCCCAGGTCACTGGGTCAGCGACAGGACTGGGCTGGCAGCCAGACGGTGGGTCCCACCAGAACATGCAGCCTGCGCTGTGGGCAGGCCCACCCAGAGCACTCCCCTCCCCCAGCCCTTCCAGGGACAAGTGCCCCGACTGTGGACTGTGGGGGCAGCGCAGACAGCCGCCCATTCCCTACAGGGGAGCCCAGGGGCGGCTCAGGGCTGGCTGGGGGCCTCAGAGGGGGGGCTGGGGGAGCCTGCGGCAGGCCTGTCCTCGGGACCCAGACAGGAGCCTGACGTCTGCGCCCCCAGGGGACGCGCTGGAGCTCTGCGGGTACCTGACAGGCCGCCCACGTCCATCTTCTTCAGGTTCTTGGCCTCCAGGATGCACACGGTGAGCTTCCCGGCCGTGGGCACGTACCGCAGGGAGGTGCAGATGTCGCCCAGCTTCTCTGGCTGTCGGGGGAGACACCAGCCCTGGTCACCTCAGCCCCCAGTGCCTCCAGCATGGCCGCCCCAGGCGCCACATTGGAGGGCTGAGGGGTGCCGGGCGGGTGGACAGATGCGGGTGCGGAGACTTTTCCTTATGTCACTGTCACTGCGACTCCTTCAGGCAGACAGGGCGGAGTCCTCGGAGCAGTGACAGACGGACAGATGGACAGAGGGAGGATGTGCTCAGCGCCCCACAGCTGTGCCCGGGGGCAGGGAGAGAGCCGGGCTCCTGACTCCTAAGGTCTCTGCCAGCCCAGGTGCGGACACAGCCTCAGAGACGGGCTCCACCCGCCACCTGCGGCTCAGGTGTGGGCCCTCGCTTGCGGCGCGTGTCCCCGGGAGGTGCTCAGAGCCTCTCCCCCCACCACAGCTGGGGCCTCTGGGCACACTGCAGGGCTTGGCCAGGACAGACGGCAAGCCTGGACACAGCTTGACAAATCTAAGGGAGTGAGGATGAGCTCCCAGCTGAGAATCCTTCAGAACGTGGGCTTTCCTCGTGGGTAAACTGAGGCACAGAGCCCTGATCACTCGTCCTCACCTGCAGGCTGAAGAGGGGGCCCAGGCCCCAGGAGATGAAGCGAGGAGCCCAGGGTCTCACAGCGGGACCCTAACCCGGCCCGGTCTCTGTCCTCACCTCCTCCTTCTCCCCACCCTGCAGGTCCCTCCACTCCTCGATGGGCTGGCCGAGATCCACGGTGTTCATGGGCACCTTCACCTCCCCGATGATGTCGTGTTTGGAGAAGCGGTCGAAGTCGTAGATGGCCATCACCAGGGTCTTGCCCCCCAGCTCCTGGTATGGTACCTGCAGGACACAGGCAGGGGCAGAGGGTCAGAGCAGCTCACCCCCCACAGGAGCCGCTGTGGGCAGGTCCCAGCTCCCTCCACACTGCCCACAGGACTCCAGTGAGTCTGTGGAGACAGAGGACCCAGGCTCTGAGGAAACACTGGGGCACCGTCCAGCCGCCCTTGAGCTGAGGGTGAGCGGGAGGCAGGAGAGATGGACGCAGCCCATCCATTGCCCTCCACGTCATCACCTTGAAGGTGAAGGTTTCGTTGAAGGCAGGGTTCAGCGTCTTCCGATGGACTTTGGTCTCATATTTCTTCTTCTTGTCTGGAAGGAGGAAGACTTTGACGTAAGGGTCTGAGGTGCCGCCCATGTCCAGGGCGGGCAGTTCCGCGGCCTGCAGAACGCCGACGGTGAGCTGTGGAGACAGCGAGGCCGGCCTGAGTCTGGGACCCCAGCACCAGCAGCCTCCCAGAGGCCAGCAGCTGGGGCGGGGGCAGGAGTAGGTTCCCTCCACCACCAACCCCCCGGGAACTCGGAATGACACAGGGGTCCCCGCAGTTGAGAGGTCACCAGCTGGCCAAACTGGGCAGGTTGATCGAGAGCAGGCTGGCCATGGCCCTTCCCCAGAGCCCGGTGAGCCGGGTCTGTGCCCGCCCTCCATGGGGGGTGGTGTCCATCCCTCCGGCCCACACCTGGTTGGCCTGGAAGTCATAGTCCAGGGAGAACTGCAGCTTGCCCAGGTTCTCTGGCTCCTTCTCCTCCTCTCCCTCCCCCTCTCCCTCCGTGAGACCGGTTTCTGCGTCGTCATCGTCCTGGGGGGGCTTCAGAGAGAGGGACAGAATCAGGGGAGAACAGCAGCCGGCTCAGCGCAGGGGCAATGGGAGAGGCCCTGTGCGGCTCTGGCTCAGAGCTGGTGTTGGGACGGACGGGAACTGGGGGGGGGGCAATCCCCCTGAGCATGCCCCATGCCTCCCTCCCTGCAGGGCCAGCATTTCCCTTGTCAGCCCCCCAATAATTCGCCCAGCTCAGGCCTCACCCACCCTGGGCAAGACATACCGGGCATCAGTCCAGGAACAGGTGGTCCATGGGGGTGGGGAGGAAAGAAGAAAGAATGTGGTTGAGAAAAAATCCTCTGCTCAGACCAGCCTGGGTCACAGCCAAAGGGACACCAGGCTGGACTGCGCCTGAGCATCCCTGGAGCCCCCGGTCCCCAACACTGCAGACCCCTCCCCCCCACACACATATACATGTGCGCACACAAGCACACACACACATACACGTGTGCACACATGCACACACATAAACACGTGCGCACACATGCACACATATATATGTGCACACGCACGCACACACACACACAGGCAGTCTGCTGCCTTGAGCAAGAAACTACCCGTCACCCCAGTGGGGAAAAGTGGACTCAGGGGCCACTTTTATGTGCAGACTTCGAAGGAGAAACCTGGGACCTTCCAGCTGACCAGCCCAAAGGACGGGTGAATAATGACAGAACTGCAGACAAACTGCACTTTGGTGTCTAGTCCGAGTCACCACCCGCCCCCAGGAAAGGCTACTGGTGGTGGGGTCTCTCTCCCAACATTCGTCCCCACAGCCTCCTGGGGTGGACGCCCGTCCGCTCCTCTGCTCCTGCCAGGACGGCCCCCACACGGCCCCGCCCACCAGCACCTGGGTAGACAGGTGAAGCTGCAGATGTCGCCAGTGGGGACCGCACAGTCTGGAGGGGACCCGGGGTGGCTGCAGAGCCCGCGGCCTTGTTTGGCCCCTGGGGGTAGGGGCGCGGCCGTCCCCCACTCCCCCACCCCTCGCTGCCCGCCCGCCCCGCCCGCCCTACCTGCCCGCCCTGCATGTCCTTCATGCTCATGGCGTTCTTGGCGCCTTTGCCCTTCTCCTTCTTGTTCTTCTTCTTCCGGCAGCAGCACTTCTTGCAGATGCAGAAGCAGCAGGTGAGGAGCAGGAGGCCGGTCACCACGGCGATGGCGATCAGCGCCCAGGGCGGCACTGCCCACAGGAGAGCCCAGTGGTCAGCAGGGCTCGCCCAGCCCACACCACCAACCACACGCTCCTGAGTACGTGCCCGGCCCACCTTCCCGAGGTGCCCAGCCCACTGCCCCGCCACCCCGCCAATGGGAGATGGCCCCCAGGCTGAACAAGCGGAAGGGGGGGCTGGACTCTGCGTGGCGACCAGGATGACCTACGTACGACCTGGTCGAATTGCAGAGGACGGTACAGTCCTCCGGGGCAGGGCGGGAGGAGCCTCCACCCCACCCCGGGCCCAGGAGCAGGGGCTCTGGCTGCCGTCCGCCCGGGGTCCTGCACCAGTCCCGCCGGTGAGGCTGCCCCCTGAGGGGGGGCTCTGTCTCCCACAGACTCAGCTAGGAATTCAGAAGGCAGGGGGCACTGTAACTCTATGTGCACCTGAAACCAATACAATAAAGTCGTAACTATACAGAGAGCATCCCCAAAAAGGTAGACACAACTTTGAATAATTGTAAAGCTCATGTTCATTAAAATACATCTTATTTTCCAAACGTCAGCGAATCTGCGGAGACCTGTGTGCGCTTCTGGGGACACTCTGTGTACAGGAAAAGCTTTCACCGTCTCGGAGTGTGATGGGGCCTGAACGACAGTTCCACAGTTCTTCATCTCCTGACACTTTTCTAAGTTGTGTAAGAACTTTTTCCTGGGAGGCTGGTTCACAGACTCCCTTGCTGCCTTCAGTAAGCCAGTCCACACCCCATTAGTGAGGGGTGCCCCGATAACGCAGCCCAAACCCGAAGTTAGGAAAGAACCCAGCCAGCCGGGCCCTGTGCCCCACCCCGTCTGAGGGGCACTCACGGGGGATCTTGTTCATCTCGTTGAAGAACTTCTCCTTCAGCTTCGCGAACATGTCCTCCTTGCTCTCCCCAGCACCCCCACTCTCGGTGGAGTTGCTCACGGGCCCAACGGGCATTGTCGCTGTGGTGGCGGCAGGAGCCGCCTCGGGCTCCTGGTTCTTCTTGAAGATGTTCCACATGGCGGCGAGGGGGCGGCTGTGGGGGGGGAGCAGTGAGCCCTCCAGGGCCCTCCAGGGCCCTCCCAGCTGTTCCCAGCCCAGCAGCCCCTCCGAGCACCTGGACCTGGACCTGGACCCCTCCTCCTGCAGGCCCACAGGGCTCCCGGCTCCAGCGCAGGGAGGTGACCCCCGCGTCCCCCACCATGTAATTCTCTCCACAGCACTTGTCACCGACACGATTTTATCTGTTGTCTGCCCTTCACTAGAATGTAAGACCCACGAGTGCAGGGACCTGGACAGCACGTGGTAGGTGCTCAGTGAGGAACGGCCCAGCGGAGGCCTCGGCTCTGGGATGCGACCTTGCCCAGCCCTGAACAACTGTGGTATCCGCACCACGGCCACCGCAGACACTTGTTAAAAACAAAGGGTCGTAGCCCTGGCCGGTTTGGCTCAGCGGTTAGAGCGTCGGGCCTGCGGTCCTGAGAGACCCGGGTTTGGTTCCCGCTAAGGGCATGTACGTTGGTTGCAGTTTGTCCCCGGCCCTGGTCGGTCGTGCGGGTGGCAGCCACTCAATGTGTTTCTTTCACATCGATGTTTCTCTCTCTCTCTCTGTTCCTCTCTCTCCCTCCCACTCTACCTGAACAAAAAATGGAAAAATGTCCTCGGGTGAGGATAATAAAAAAAAAAAAGGTCGTATTCCCTCTTTGGATCAGCCTAAGGGGTATCTCACCCCACCTGCTGAGGATACAAATCAAAGACACACAAATATGCACAACCAATCCACACGGACACTGGGCTGGGGAGGTGGGGGGGCCAGTGGGAAAAAGGGGGACATCTGTAACACTTTCAGCAATATGTGAGCTGTATGATTTGGAACTACCAAAATTCAAATTCTATGGCCACGAAACTCAGTCTCTGCGAAAGAAAATGAAAACAATTCAGAGATGCAGAGGGGTCAGCACCCATTCTCAAGACTCCGGTGGGAAAAGAGGCCCAGAGAGGTGAGGGGGTCCAAGGCCCCACAGCGCACGCTCCTTCCCGCAGCGCGGCCGCCTGGGCCCCAGGGCGATGGCTCAGCCAGGGCTCCGGGCTCAGGCATTGGAGCAGGTCCCTTTGCAGGCCCCCTCCCGCTCAGGCTGCAGTCCTGGGACGGTGGCAGCTGAGAGCTGAGGATGATAAATGACCTGGGGCTCCAGGGGCCCAGAACAGAGTGAGCACTCTGTCTGCTCAGAGCTGCGGAGCGGGAAAGCGTGAAACAGGCCATTAGGCAGATGCCGCGCTGAGCGGGGGCTGGCGGAGGCGCCCGCTGTGCTGGCCGCGTGGGTCAGGTCTGCACTGGGTGGCAGGACCCGGCGAGGTGGCGGGTACGGTCCTTGCACACTCATGTCTGAGCACTAGTGAGCAGCCACGGGGACCAGCCACGTACACCTGCCTCAAAGGACTAACCAGTTAGAGGTCGCGTTGCAGAGGATGGGACACCCCTGAGCTCAAACACCGGCGGTGAAGAGCCCGTTGCACTCCTGGGTCTAGACTGACGGGAAACCCCACGGAGGGGGTCGGACTGAAGGCTGGGATGGTGAGACAACGAGAAGCCAGGGGGACAGGACGCCGCCCTCTGCGTGTGTGCAGGCGCCGCACTCACAGACGGAAGCGGGTTGGCCGGCTGGACACTCGCCCAGGGCGCAGGCCAACCAAGCTCAGCGCTTAAGTGAACATTCGTGTCATTTTTTGGACCCACTGGCCCTGGGGGACAGAAGATCAAGTTTTAATGAATTAATTTTCAGGCACATTTTGAAAATGAATTACTGCGTCTCTGAGTTCCCTGCGTGCCAAGGCGGGTACGCACCCACGCCAGGGCGCCCGGGAGCTGGAAAGTCTTTCCAGTGTCTAACTTTAGTCTCTCCTGCTGTCGCGACTTGTTTTCCTCCTCCTACAACGAGGCTGAGCTCGGCAGATCCCGGCCTGGAGAGGAGGCCGGCGGAGGCCTGAGGCTCAGAGCCTGAAGGCCGGCCGGCCGGTGTCTCCCCGGTGCCCCGCTCGCTGCACTGTGGGGCCTCCAGCCTGTGAGTCTCCCTGTGTGCACCCCTCAGTGAGGGTTCACCCCCTGCTCTGCTGGCCTGGCCCTCAGCACCGCACACCTGCCGGAGGTTTCTCTCTGCACCTAGAATCTGGGCGTGGGTACTTTTGGGAGCTCGGGTGACCCTGCAGGAAAACGCAGAAGGAAGCCCTTGTATGGAAATGAAGAAACCAAGGCCCCAGAGGGGTGTGGGTCCCGCCCTGTCACACAAACAACAGGCTGGATGTGGCTCACCACCCCCACCCTACCCCCCACGGCCTGCTCTAGGTAGCCCCAGCGAGCCCTTCGGTGATGCCCAATCTTGGACAGCTCTTGTGGGGGTGAGGAGGGCGGGGTAGGAATGTCCCCATGCCACCCAGCAGGACCACAGCTTGAACCAGGCACAGTGCACCCCACCGAGGGGAAGCTGCTGAGTCATGGCCCGTCCCGCTGAGCCGCCTGCTGCGTCAGCCCAGGGGCTCCTTCTGCCCCCACACCTTCCCTCCGGGCTTGGAGCCCTGGGCCTGCACGGGGTCCCCACTGCCTCGCACCCTGCAGGCAGGGTCCCTCAGGGCCGAGCGCCAGGATGCTTGGGGGCAGGCTGGAAAGGGTGGGGTCCCCGAATGGTGACGGAGTGGGGGACACAGGGAAGCTTGAGGACCAGCAGGCTCTGGAAAGCTGGGGCCTTGGGGGTCCTGGGTGAGTGCGAGCTGTGTGAGGCAGGGAGTGGGCCTTGGGAGCTGGGGACTGGGGGGCTCGGCAGGGGTTGAGACACAGATGGATGAGCCCGGAGGACAGTCTGTTCCCTGCCCTCCCAGACCTGGCGGCCCGGGAGAGGTGCCACTCACTCCACCCAGACAGACGCCCTTATTGACAGCGCCTCTGACAGGCCGCAGCCTCCGGGAATGAAAGTGGGTCAAGCCAGCCCTGGGGGCACAATTATATTCCCCGGAGAAGCCACTTCCTCCCCCCCCAACCTGGGGGCAGGAACAGGAAACCAGGTGGGGGGGAGCCAAGGCCTCAAATGCCAACAGGCTGGAGGAGGGAAGAGACTCGGGGAAAATTCCAAATTGGAAAATCCCAGTGTGGCATTCTACTGGGTCCCGCCTAGGGGGCCTCGGAAGGAGCCGGGGAGCGGGTGGCAGACTAGGTCTGACCTGCAGGTCCCAGAACCCGGCCTCCGGTCGGCTGGCTCTGCCCTGGCGGCCGCGTGGGCTCGGGCCGGCGGCTTCTCCACCTGAACCAGAATGAGAAGGGACCCTGCCTCCCAGGGTCGTGGGGCCCGGGACAATGCGGGGCAGTGTGACAGGTGCCCGCTTCCCTTCCTGAGGGGCCGGCCAGGCCACAGCGCGCACACGGGAGGCTCCGGGGGCAGAGGTGTGGGCCTTTCCCAATGACCCGGGGTACGCCCAGCACTTGCGGGGGCTGCAGGGCCCCCTCTGAGCCACTGCCCTGTCCCAGCTCTGCCCAGCCTGTGGCCCCCCTCCAGCGGGCCTGCCCTGCCCTGCCGGCCTCGCTGGTCTCCGAGCTCAGCCTTGCAGCCTTGAAGACGGGCTGCTGGGCTGGGTTTGCTCTTGTTTCCAAGTTCTTCTTGCGTGAGGGTCTGACCCTGTCCTCCCAGAGCAGGGACAGTTCCTCCTCCGGCCACTGCAGGAGGGGCCTGCTGGGGGGGTGGCTCGGAGAGAGCAGCCCCCTGCCGTCACCTGGGGAGAGTGTGCAGGCAGGACCCAGAGACAGGAACATCCACATTGAGAGGGTTCCCAGGGAGAGAAACCACAGGCAGGGTGAGGGGGACACCCACCAATGAGCCAGGCAGGCACCTGCTGAGTCCCAGCTACACCTCAGTCACAAGGCAACGCAGCGGAGCAGGAGCCTGACCGAGGACCCAAGGTGGGCAGGCGCTCTGTGGTGCTGGGGTGCAGGGTACACAGGGGCTCCTGCTGGGAAGATGGGGCCAAACTCCAAGGATCAGGGAGCACGGCGCTGGGAGGCTTCCCGGAAGAGGAGAGCTGAGCCCAGGGGCTAGGGAGGAGCTGGCGGATGGGATGGGACCACTCAGCCAGGACCCTGGAAGCCAGCGGACTCCGCAGGCGGGTAATTCAGCAGCATCCCACCCAGAGGGCCATCCCATGGCCGGAAGTCCTTCCTCGTACCGCCCCTGAGCCTTCCTGCTGCAGGGTAGCCCGGACCCTCCTAAAAGGTGCAATATCACCAGCCGGGCAGCATCACAAAAGCCAGAAAAGCAGCCCTGGCCGGTTTGGCTCAGCGGTTGGAGCGTCGGCCTGCGGTCCAGGGAGACCCGGGTTCGGTTCCCGCTAAGGGCATGTACCTCGGTTGCAGTTTGTCCCCGGCCCTGGTTGGGGTCGCGTGGGTGGCAGCCACTCGATGTGTCCCTTTCACATCGATGTTTCTCTCTCTCTCCCTCCCTCTCTATCTGAACAAAATATGGAAAAATGTCCTCGGGTGAGGATTAAAAAAATCAAAAGCCAAAAAGCAGCTGACAACTGCCGAGAGTTCGAGAATGTCATTCCAGCTGAGGAGGAGCTGTGGGCTCTGGGCCTCCCACCCAGACCCCTCACCTCCGGACACAGCACAGGGCGCAGGTGCAGAGGAGGAGAGACAGTGAGACAGGCCGGAGACAGGACTCTGCTGGGGGGGGGGCAGCCCTCGTGGCTGCACAGAGGCCCGCAGGCCTCCGCCCCGGAGCAGGGTCACCTGGGAGCTGGGCTGGGGGGTGTGGCAAAGCGCAGGACACACAGGGCTCCTGAGCATGTCCCTCGGAAGTCGCGTGCTCCGGGTCCAGGCGCTGCAGCCGCCCGCATCCCACGCCGGATGACTTCCCACCACGGGGCAGCATCGGCCTTTGTTCTCCCGGTGTAGCCAGTGGCCTGGGAACCGAGGGGGCCTGTCTCCCCTCTCGGAGGGCCTGGCTGTCAGCAGGGCCATGGACACGGGCCAGGAAAGGAAGAAC